GAGTACAAGACAGTCAAGAGCCCATGTCACAACTTCAACATGGTGGATCCAGATGGGGTGCTGCCCCCTCATGTGCCCCAACATGAGGCCTCCCTCTCCATCTCTCCTGCTGTCCCGCAGATGGGCAAATGGCTGGAGGTCCACTCCTCAGTGTACGACCTCAGGAAAGGATCAGCATCTTCCGCCTCTGGGTCATCCGGCCTCAAGAAGCACAACACCAACTCATCCAACTCCTCCCACTTGGCGAGACATCACAGCTTCAACCGTGTGGAGACACCACCTCCCGCTCCTCAGAGAGTGGACTCCATACAAATGACAGCACAGGGCATATCTCTATCACAGCAGCCCGGAATGAGCCCCAACAGTTCACTGCCCCGGACGGGCCTCAAACACCTCAAGCCTGATGTTCCTCCCAAACCTTCTGTAGTCTCTCTCTCAACGAAAAAGTCCAGTGACTCCTGCACATAGTCAGTCAGCCTGTTAGCTAGTCCAATGTGAACTAACAGTAGGTTTTTCCAAGAGAGCGAGAAAACAGGGAACACTGTACAATATGCATCTTATTTTCATGTGTATTTTTTTTTTTTGTGTACAGTGGAACATGCAAAACAGTTTTTTAAAAGGAATAACCTCTTTTTATATAAATATGTAAATATACAAATGGTTGTTGTCATTTGTTGCTGTTTTCGAGCTCATGCTCTCACTGGCTCCCAGATCCTCTGTGAACAAACGTGTGACTGTAACGGAAGTTACTGCACCGTGTAGTGACCGTAGCCATGGTTCTCTTGTTTGTGGTGTCTTTGGTCGTTAGGACTCGACTCGAACCTTTGCTGGTAAAAGCACACGAGGAGACCACACAGAGAAGTTCGTAGAATAATCGTTGTACAGTACCTTAAGGACTGATGAACTGGAGTCGACAGGAACTCAAGCTCAGACTAAAAGAACAGACAGCTGCCTGAGATCTGTAGGAAACTGTGAAAAGCCTCTCAGTGTTACAGCAATCAAGTCCTGCTTGGGTTTGACTGAGATCCAGGCCCAGGATGATCCTCTGGTTAACTGGTTACTGAATAACACATGACAAAAATGAAAAAGACTGACTTTTATAATTAATCAAGTTTGAGAAACGTTATTTAAAGTCATTAAACTGGAGCCAGTAGAACTTTCGCAATGACCCATGGTCTCACCAGGTCTTACTGTTTGTCAGTGGGACTCACAGCGTGACGTGACGCGGAGGAGATATTCATTTAAACTGTGCCAGACAGGGACCTCTAACTTCACAGACCAGAATTTTTTCATGCTGAAATTAAATGTTTAAAAAAATGGAAGAAAAAAAAACTAACCCTAATTCTCACCGTTTTACTCCTCCTGCACTCTCTCCCTCACCTCCACCCATGCCTTCAAAGCTCAGTGTTGCATGTTGCAAATAAAAGAGAGCCAGCTGCAATGAACAGTACAGGAAAAAAACCAGACCCACAAAGTGATGCTGCGAGTGAAGGGAGTGACGCCTCCGTCTTAAAACGGATCTGTCTTTTGTGCCGGTGTATAAAGAGCAGGAATCTATAGAAACGAACATTTTTCTCCACATGTAAATCTGTGCCTTACACCCTGAAGTAGTGGTGTAGTTGAATGGCTGTTAACTTGTCTCCTTGTGTAATTTTCTTTTTATTATTTTGCTTCGTTTGTTTGTTTCTAGACATAACACACAGTTCACAGATAAGAGAAGAAGAATGAGGGTAACTATTCTCTGACTCACACAACACACATGCACTCTCATTTTTGTGCTTCATTTCTAATTGTGCTATTCATTCCCTGAAGAAAAAGAATCCCTTGAAGACTTGAGTGTTTTGGTTTTTTTTTTTTTTTTTTTATACATTTTCTCTTTAATACAAGTTTTGGTATTATATACTGTATATATATATATATATATATATATATATATATATATTCTTCTTCTTTTTCTTTCGGCTTTGTCCCTTTTTCAGGGGTTGCCACAGCAAATCATTGATTTCCATCTCTCCCTGTTCTCTGCATCTCCTACTCTGACTCCAACTATCTGCATGTCCTCCCTCACTGCATCCATATATCTCCTCTTTGGCCTTCCTCTCTTTCTCCTACCTGGTAGCTCCATCTCTAACATTCTTCTACCAATGTATCCACTGTCCCTCCTCTGCACATGTCCAAACCATCTCAATCTGGCTTCTCTAGCTTTTTCTCCAAACCTTCCTGTCTGTGTTGTCCCTCTAATGACCTCATTCCTGACCCTGTCCATTCTTGTCACTCCTAAAGAGAATCTTAGCATCTTTAACTCTGCCACCTCCAGCTCCTCCTCCTGTCTTCTGCCTATTGCTACTGTCTCTAAACCATACATCATGGCTGGTCTCACCACTGTCCTGTAAACCTTTCCCTTCACCTTAGCTGACACTCTTCTGTCACAGATCACTCCTGACACTTTTCTCCAGCTGTTCCATCCTGCCTGTACTCTATTCTTCACCTCTCTTCCACAGTCTCCGCTGCTCTGAACAGTTGATCCTAAGTACCTAAACTCCTGCACCTTCACCACCTCTGCTCCTTGTAGCCTCACTATTTCACTGTTCTGCCTTTCGTTTACACACATGTACTCTGTCTTGCTGCGACTGACCTTCATTCCTCTTCTTTCTAGTGCAAACCTCCACCTCTCTAGGTTCTCTTCTAGCTGCTGCCTACTCTCACTACAGATCACAATGTCATCTGCAAACATCATAGTCCATGGGGACTCCTGTCTGACCTCATCTGTCAATCTGTCCATCACCACAGCAAACAAGAAGGGGCTCAGGGCCGATCCTTGATGTAGTCCCACCTCCACTTTGAAGTCTTCTGTCCTCCCAACAGCGCACCTCACTACTGTTGTACGCTGTCTCCTTGGACTGACGATGAATTAACTGATTAATTATAAAAAAATTATAAAAACATAACTTGTCACTTGAGAAGGCCAACATGTGTGCAGCCTTCCAGCAGAGCAGACATACACACACACCACTCAGACTCAGACGCCCCATTACTTCACACACTTATGGCTTGTTGCATGTGTGGTAACACCTGTTGGTTGGACAGATGTCAACGCAGGCTGGTTCCTGCGTTGACTTTTTAAAAACAAACAATATGAAATCATACCATATTTTAACCCCTTTCTTAAAAAAAAAAACATGTGAAGAAGAATTTCTAGCATTTTTAATTTGCTTCACTAAGATCACAACCAGCCACTATTTGTATGCTGGGTCTGTGTGGACACAAAATCCACCTCAAAGTGGGACGTGTAGAAAATTCTCCATAGGCTCCAGGAATGATCAAACTAAATGTCCATACAGTATGTGGGTCAGGGGCAGCGTGTACCCATCTGTAATTCGCAAACTTTCAAACGTTCACAGCTTTTGCTTCAGAACTTGACCCCTAAGGGATGCCCACCCCTACTTTGAGAACCAATGCTCTAGCCTTAAAGAAAGAACATAGTTTTTCTGAGTCTTTAAGATTTCTCTTAAAGACTCTCTCTCTCTTTCTCTTACATGACCTTCACCTGGACTGAAACCCTTGGCCAACAAATGGTAAAAACTGAAATTCAGGAAATAGGAAAGAGAAATGATTTTTACGATGTTTACTGACAAATGTAATGAATTGTTAAACAAACGGAACAATTTGTTTTAATCATTCAACATTGAAATCATGTGAGAACTCCCTTGGTGTCGTTTGTGGTGAAGTTTCTAGTGCTCTTTCAGAATCATGGTCCAGGGATTTGCTCCCGGCGTGGTATGTTACCAACAGACTTTCAGCTGGACACAAAAAAAAAACTCACCTGGATCGGACTGGATGTATTTTCTTGTCAAAAATGTGTTTCTCGTGTGTCCTTTAAACCTTGCTGACTTGACCTCTGCACAAAATATGAACATCAAAGTCACATTTGGGTCAGGGATCAAACATTCCCCGTCGCAGGGTGAATTTTGCGGCTGTGGCTTCATGTCAGAGCCTGTGGATGTTCTGATGTTGTCTGGATTGGGTTAGACTGTGACGGCCGCAGTAGACAGTGAGGTTCTTTGGTGTGTGCCTTTTTGTCTCTCACCCTTGTTATGAAACACAAGTTAGATGCAAGTCCACTCTTCAACTCTTGGGAACTTTGTATGCTTGTAAGATATTGTGATGTCACAAAGTTGTGATGTCCACTTCGTTAACATCCGATTCACAACTTAATGTATGTTGTAATTAATGCAAAGTGTAATTAAAAAAAATAATAAAGTTCTTGTCATGAAGATTTGCTCCTGAACGTTTTTCTTCGGTTTGGAACATTGAGTTATTTTTCCTACAACCCGATCAGCTGTTGGTGTTGAATTTGTGATGTTGAAGAAAAACTGTGCAGAGTCTCCTCCGATCGAGATTTATCTGAAAAGACAGGAGAAAACACTGCACGTTTGTGACCTCAACTCTATTCTTCTTCTTTGCTTGTAAAAGCAACAGTGACCTCTGAAGGTCTGAGAAGTGTTTCTTCACAATCAGACACCACTCCCGATATAAAACAGAAGTTGAGCAGGTGAAAATGTGATTTAAAAACTGATGTGCGATTTCTAATGCAGTGTGAACTCAGTGCAGAGATGGAGATTGTCAAGTTTAATTCCTCTACAACACCTAACCCACTGGGAGCTGATAATGTTGAGTGGGTTTGCTACAATCCATCCACACATCTATAGGAAATCAATAAACTTTTAAAATATATTCCAAGAGCAGTTAGTTTAATGTAAAGGCCTTTTTGGGGGCAATGAGACTAAATGGAATGAGGCTTCATCATTAAGTATCTCTCTGAAGAGCAGAAGAAAGGACTTGACGTGGAAAATAAAGATAAAACATGACAATTTAAAAATGAACAAGAAAATTACCATTTGAATTAACTACATCCCATAATAACTTCAATGGATTTTTAAAAATGGTTCATGAAAATGCTGCTTTAATATAATATATACAGTATATACGTTAGGGCTGTCAAAGGTTTAAAAAATGTATTGTTACAAATTCTCCAATCCTGGTAAGTTGGCTCCAATCAGCACAGTTTATTTACAAAGCTACAAAGGTGATCAATTCTGTGACAAAGTGAACGGTGAAGAGGTGCTCCTGTGCAAATGAGGTGACACCAAACAATCCCACACACGTGTCTCCTTCCCTGGGCATGAATCCCGCTCCAAGCAACATAGAAAGGGGGGTTATCCACAAGGTAACCACATTAACAGAGAATTAACCCTTGACTCACCACCCGATTGAGTACAACACTCTGGAGCTGATCCTCTGGCAGGACGGACCTTAAATGCTCCCTCCGCCCCAATTGGAAGTGCCGGCAGGGGCGCGCCTCCACCACCCAGCCAAATACCGCTGTGAACAGTCGACGTACGCCCACACCAGGAAGCCAACTATTACATGTATGTGATTATTCAAAGGAGAGCCCTTCTTAATCACAATAAGGTAGATGTATGAGCGTCACATTTCATTTTTATTACTGACATATATATTTTATATATTTATATATATTTGCATATATGTACATTCTGTACATATACAGTATACTGTATATACAGTATACACATATATACATATATAAGTATTTATACATACATATGTATGTATATATTTACATATATGAAACGTTTTATATGAAAAAACTGATGAAATTGAAAGAATAAATTCGATTTTTTTTGTGTTTCCATTCCCAGCTATTTTCAGGAGCTACATTTCTCCTCCGTTCAGAAGAACATTTGTTTTTTTCCCTCTTTTTTCTTCAGGCTTTGCCACAGTGGGTAATCTGCGTAGTTATGATGGCCACATTATCAAGGCTCATGAAGGGCGTTGGTGGCTAGAGAATAATAGCAATATGCCATAAGGTGAACCCTATTATCGTTTCATCTCGCTCCGACGTCTGCGAACTGCACGATCTTAACTTCATAAAAAAAAAAAAAACGAGTTACGTTAAACTTACAGCAAAAAGTTTGTCGCAAAAAATCCTGCCCAGTTTTTATGGCGAGGCATTTTATGCCAAACTAGTTTCTTCAGGGCGTAATAACATTTTGGTTCGCGAGTGGTGGCACAGTTCAACACGTGATTGTGCTAGACCAATCGAGTAGCTGATTGATGTCAACACTCCGGCAACACAGCTACTTCCGTGGTTCTATTTAACGTTAGCGATAGAAAGGAATTCCCCCAAAATTCTTCTAAAGTGGGCAAAATGGATTCTAAACAGTTACAACACTTTATACATAGCCGCCTGCACGAAGAACAATGAGGAAAATAGACGATAAGGTGAACTTTCCATGTTAAGTCATTTTGATCAATAAAAGGAAATAATCAATTTATTCATTCATTCATTTATTCACTCCTAACTAAATACAACACTGATCAATAATAAAAAATATTTATTAAAACATATATAAATACAGTATGTACAATATATAAAACAATACAAAACAGCATAATAAAATGAATGGTAATATTAACAATGCAACCACTGCAATACAACTCTGAGGCAATAGGCTACACACGACATGTTAGCCTTCACTGTCAGTGTCAGGGCAGTCGTCATCCTCCTTCTCCTCAATTTCCTTTATGTTTGCACAGTGGCAACACTGATACAGGTCTGTACAACAGAGTCCTGCAGGGACACAGGAACACCTACCTGTCTCACAAGCACTCACCTTGCAGCTGCAGTGTATGACATGCAAAACGTTGTCAGGGGCCGGATTTCTTGTCATCCATGTGACATGTAGGTTTCCATCTTCTAGGTGCCAACCGTATCCGGCAGGTGATGGAGCACCTATATTTTGACTGCAG